GGCTGGTGTGCTGAGTGGAGATGTGAGTATATTGGAGTGACTTCAGACAAGATTGTTTTTGATTAGAATTGTATTTAGAAAGTGTAAGAAGCTTGTACAGTTTTAAAACTGCTTCATAATGGAATGGGCCTTTTAGAATGTTCTTATTTACCATGGGTATTTTTTTTTTAAATTCATAGATTAGGCTGCAAGATAGTCATGGTAATATCAGACCAAGGTGGTGTTTGGGTTTTTTTAGAAATGATAAATGGATAATCAGTTTTAAAATCTAATCCTGCTGATGAGAAATTTATGTAAGAGCTAATGTGTTTTAATTGATACAAATTCTTCTTTAAAGCTCAAAATGTAGAATATTCTAATAAGGCTCAAGTTTAAGCTGCTGAAGAAAAGGATTTTTGTTGCATTCTGAGATTAAATGCTGTACAGACAATAAGTTTGTAATGATACATTTTGGATACTAACCGAAGCAATTCTAATTGGTGAAGTTACTGAGTCGCTCACTTGGTGCTAAACCAACATTGTACTGTAATTGCACTTATGCTGTGGTCTTTTATTTTTTATTTGGTCCACTAGAGCTTTAGAATGATCACCTTGTTTTACCTAATTCATTGCACAAGATCTCTCGCTTTTTAGATTTGTCACTCATCATACCTAATGCCTCTTTTTTTGTTTGCTTGTTTTTAATTTGCCGAATTTTGTAGTTATTTTAAAACTTCTAACTGGACTACTCAATTTTTACCAGGCTTAATTGCATTTAGTACATGTGTGTCAATTGCTAGCATTAAAAAAACCCCTATAATATTCAGCCTTTCATTCCCACTGTTCAGTAGCACTAATTTACAGCAAGTTATTTGTATTTACTTTCCCAGTAAATACGAGTGCACTACTTGGAGACATTCATCTGTTTTTGTCTTCTATTTTGCAATCACGAATTTATTAAAGATAGTGCATAATATTTGGGAACTGTAGAAGTATAGTATCACTGTTAATTTCATATTATAATTAGAAGAATAAATCTGAGCTTCTTGTTTCCTGACTCTCATAACATACACAAGTCGAATTTAAACATTTTCGTAACACTCCTTATTAACGTTTGTGGCAAATGCTTTATCTATAAATTTGGATGCCATCTTGGTCTTTTTCTTGCTGTAAAGAATTAAAATAGAATCTTTCAGCCCTAGCAATGTTTTGTAGAAGTCATCTCTTGTACCTATAGGGCTTTGATATGCAAAAAGCATGTTTGATAGCACAATTATTTACAGCATTACAATTATTTAGCAGCCAAAACGGTGAACAGTTAAATGTGTAATTGAAGTGCTGCTTAGTATGTAACATTTGCTTTAAACATACCTTGTATGTGTAAATCTAATTTTTAATGGGTCAACTCTCCAGTGTAGTATGACATTTTAAGTATTGATCACAGTACATGAATTCATTTGTTATATACAATGCCTTTTTAATGTAAAAGTCGCAACATCAAAGCCAATAAAAGTACTGCTTCGTAATAATGGTTTGATGTTTTTCTTACCTATATAATAACTTGAAAATGATACTGTGTATTTAAAATATACTATGTCAATCAGGCCTGGTTCGAATATGAGTAGAAGAATGAGTTTGGAGAAAACATTTTTTTTTTTTTTTTTCTCTCTTTTGGATTCTGTAAGGAAACATCTTAATTTTTGAGATATAATTCCCTTTTAGCTATTTAACTTTTTTGATATACATGGAAGATACATATCTTCTGAGTGAATATTGAGAGCTTGTGCATGAATAGGTTTCAGTTAGATTTATTAATGCAAGTAGCATAATGTAGTCTAAGGACTTCATATGGAGCTCAGACTTCAACCAAAACAAGCCAAAGATTTGTAACAGAAATACTAGAGATATTTTTGAGAGAGACAGAATGGCACGTTCTCCTACTGATACCCTGAAATGCCTTAGGAGACTTTGTTGTTGTTCTTTTTGTCCCTTCTCTTTCCTGCTGCTTTTAATACTGTGTTTCAACTCTGTATGGTAAAGTTGCTGAGATCTGCTGGATGGAATGAGGCTGCAACTGAACTTAATTTTTTGAACAAAAAAGTATCGGTAGTGTTCTTAAGCGTGACTTTGTGCAGCTGTATTGTGTGTAGTTGTGAAGGAGCTACTATGCAATGATTTGGGAACTCTAAAATCGTGCTGCTTAATTTAAATACGTTCTGAATTTGCTATTGCTACATATTTACCTTGTAAAGACAGAATGTCAAAGGTTTTTATCTTTGCAGGTAGCTAGATACTGCTTTTAGTAAAGTCAGAAGAGCTTAGAAGTTACTAAATTATTATTTTTTTAATTCAAGACAAGTTAGTGCTAGTATATAAAATATTATCAGCTTTAATTCCTAGGTATTATTCTAGAAAGATAACAGGAAAATTTTCAAGTTGCAATTCTCAGCCTGCAATATAAATACCCTTTCTGTGTAGTGATTCAAAATCACACAGCACTGCCTGGTTAGACTGCCTAGGACTAGTGTGTCAGTCCGTAGAATCTCTTGTATTGACATCCATGCTTCCAAAGATGTTTGTCTGTAGCTAGTTCCATGTTATATGTGAAATTGTGATTAATATCTTTGTTAGAATTTAATACTGCTGAACGTTTCCTGTAACATTAAACAATGCTCCAAAATCTGTGCAGCACAGCTAGACATCAAATCTCCCAACCATACATTCCAAGAAATGCAGTTGCATTTCCTTCTTCTTGTCAGTTAAGGGGTTTGCTCTGTGGATTCTTTCAGCAATATAGCCTTTGCAGCAGTTGAAATGTACATTGCTAAACGATGAATTTGGCAGTATGGCTGAATGCTGTTAATTGTTTTGTATCTATTACCAGTGGAAACGAGAGCAAGAATTTGATTTGCAGTTACTTGAGAGGGCAATTCGTGGAGAAGACAAGGATGAAAATGAATGGTTGAAAGTTCAGCCGGTAGCAGTGACAGAGACAGACCTGGAGCCTCAAGACTATGATTTAGATATCAGCAGAGAGGTAACACTCATAATTTTTTTTGCCTCCTATTCTGTGCCTTGAAATATTAACATTTCTACGTTTTAGGTAGTGAATTCTCATCCTTTCTTTGAAAAGTTAGCTAGAAGTTTCAACTAAAAGGAGTCTTCTGAGTATTGAAAATTTATGGTCTGGCACTTAGAATCTCTGTAAGGTTCATGTTCGTATTGTGTTTTAATGGAGAGAAGAAATTGAAAGGTTGGCTCTACTGTTTGAAATGTACATCTCAGGCTTTATAGAGGAAAAAGTGATGAAGTTAGGCAATGTTGTATACATAGGGGAAAAAAGATGAGAAGACAACATCAAGAGTATTTGGAAATAAGAAACAGCACTGAAGTAAAAGTTAGTTCCCCAGAGCTACCTTACTCTTCATTTTGACTGGCACAACATCGTAGAGAAGAGGGACCACAGCTTTATCCTGATCGGAACAGAAAACATCTTTCTATCGCCTTTTCAAGTGACTTGATTGGTGTTCTGGGCACTAGATCTTTTTTCAGCTCTAGTAACTGAGTGAAGTATTTGTTTGAAATGCGATTGAGCCATCTGGTGGAAATGAAAGAATATAGCAAGTGGAAAGATTTCAGTAGGTACTATGCATTGTGTAAAATGCCACAGAGATGGAAAATCGGTAAAATTAATGATAATTAGACTAGTAAGCACCTCTTCTGAAAGCTGTTGGCAATGTATCATTTTATATAGACAGATAGTTGTAAGAGGTTGAATCTGTGAGCCATTATCTCTTGATCTCTAATTGAAAGGTACATTCATTCATAATCTTTGTCTACAGAAAATGCAATGCTCCTGTAAAGTTCAGAAACAGAAAAAAGTACTTTCATTATATTGCCTTTTGTTGCACTCTGCTATGAAAATCTTTTCCAGAAGGTCTCCAGGGCTACGTGAATCACTTCAGACCTCCAAATTAGCACCTTCAGCCTAGGATAGGAAACATTTTTGCTTATAGGCATTTATCTTCTACTTCAGAGTAACTGAAGCAGGTCTGAAGCTCTGAATGTAAAGCTTCTTTCTCAGGTTACCCAGGTTGTCCTTTTCCATTTCATGTACCCCTCTTCACCTGGCAGGCACTTCTGTACCTCATAAGGAAATACACTCAGTTGTGTCTCTAAGGCAAATAAATCTGCTGTTCACGTGGTAACGGAGTTTGTTATTGTGGAAGTGGCAGGATGAGCTGGTCTAGATTAGTTACAGTATGGAGGGATATATATAAATAAATAAAAAAATATATAGATACAGAGCTCCAGAGAGGAGTTGGATTTGAAGGTATGGAAGTATAGTAGAAAATGAGGATTTTTCAGGAAACGTTGGCCTTGAGTTTACTGAGAAGGAAGTACAAAAATTTGAGGCTGTGATTTTAATGTGGTTTTGCGTGCCAATGACTGTATTGTATGCTTTGGGCCTATGATTGCCTGCAAATTACTGAGCCTAATTGCTGGGGGTTAGGTCAGGCCACTTTACGTATGCCATTGAATTAGTGTGGATTAAGTTCAGTGGTGAAACATTTAGGATTCTTTTTGTTTAAAACTTTGAATTTTGAAAACTCATAAGTGTTTTAGAAAAAAAATCCAAAAAGGAGGAGAAAAAATAGAACCCCTTTACTTATTTTTATTTATTCACACATCCTCTATTTGTGCTTTTCAAAAGCAGTCAGTTCTGTATACTAAGCATTGGTTTGCAAAGTCCATTTGTAAACTGAATTTTCATTGGGTGATTTAGATCTCTAATGAGGAGCAGAAATTTCCCACAAAGAAACCGATCTCAACAAAAAACTTGTTAGCTTTTGTGCAATCATATTAAAATTTTCAATCTACAGAATTATGCATATGCAACATGTTGTTACAATTGCGCAATGTTAGTGTATTTCTAGGTCACTTCCCTAGACAACTTTTGAACACCCAGGATTTCAGATTTTATAGTCCAAGAATTTCCTAAGATGATTACAAACTGCTGGCTTTCTTTTTCTTTTCTTTATTTTTTTTTTCCCCTCTGCTGCTTACAGAAGATTATGCAGAATCACAGAATCATTTAGTTTGGAAAAGACTTTCAATATCATTGAGACTAACTGTAAACCTAACACTGCAAGTCCACCACTAAGGTGGACTAGGTGCCACCCTAGATTAAAACTTTATATTTCCTTTTAGTTGTAGGAGTCCTCGCTGGCATGACATAAATATCATGACATCGAAATCTCAGGTTGTCCAGGCAGTCTTGTAGTAGTTGCTTCTTTCTTCTGTACCAGCTTTAGGCAGTGTCCTACTTTGGGCTCTAAGCCTGAGCTGAAGAAGGGTTCCCTGTTGATTCTGATTTCTTTTGTAATCCCCTTTAATGTTTGTTCGATCTGTCTTCTAAAGCAAAATGAATCAGAGGGAAAAGACACTGTTAAAAGGGCATCAGCTCATATCCAGAAGGGAGTGTTTAGCATCAGGTACATGTATTGACTGTGAAAACCCATGCTTTATTCTTTTCATTGTGCTCTCCCATTGAGGAGAATTTATCTCAATTTTTTTTTAAGTCTTTATTAAAAACTGGACGCTTGCTATCTTTCCACAGTTGTCAAAACCTGAGAAAGTTGCAATTCCAGAACGCTATGTTGAACTGGAGCCAGAAGAGCCTCTTTCTACAGAAGAACTGGCAGCAAGGCAGCGTAAAGCAGAAAAGATAAAGAATATCCTTACAAAATCAAGGTTGGGTTTTTTCAGATCTTACATAGGGGCTGGTGTTAAACATTGGGAACTAACTTTGTACAACAGTCTTATTCCTATTAAATTATCTAAGTGTAACTTCTGGCTTTTAGAAAATGCACACAGAATTTATGTAGTATACTTCAAGCTCCTTTTTAAAACAGAGTAGAAGAGATAATGACAAGTTTTGTGTATGTCTCCTCTTGTTCAGAGCATCCTAAGATAGTAGCGAGTCCTTACCAAGCAACTTGTGGATGAGAGTGAGGAGGAAGGAAAGGCACAAATCTGGCCAGAAGCGGAAGAAAAGTCAGTGTGAGAGCAAGTTTCTGTTGTCTCCAAAGAGCTGGAGTTCCAAAAAACACTTTTGGCAACTTGAACCACATGCAGTGTCAGCTGAAACATTCCATTTCAAGAATTTGATTGCCCCAAGTATCTGCTGTCTCTTTGGAAGACAATTAAAGAGGCTGTGCCTGAGGACCAATATGTTATTCCTTTTCCTCCAGGCCCTAACAAGAAAATTTATTAGTAACTTCAAATAAATAACATTTTTGGTAGTGCTTTCATGTAAACAACATATTTAGAACAAAGGACTTTCAGATATACTTAAGGCTATACAGAATTTCTGGTTAAATGTCTAACGGCTGCATTATTTGCCTTTGTGTGCTGTAGTCATTTACAAACCATATCTAACATTACTTTAAAGAACTTCAATAAAATACGGAGCTTGGTAGATGAGGTCTGAAAACTGCTGTATGAATTCAAGCTTGTTCTCATCTGCATGGTGGATTCTTCATGTTTGAAAATGTTAATGTTGTTTTGCACTTTCCTGCTAGTATGCACAATCTACAGCCTACTGTTGCCCAGGACAAACACAACTCGGTTGATTTAGATTCACAGCTACAAGAGCAGGAGCGCATCATTACCATATCATACGCTTTGGCTTCTGAAGCCTCTCAGAGGAGCAAGGAGGTAGCAGGTAATACTTAGTTATTTACAAAATAACAGCTATTTCTTACCAGCTTCTAAAGTTGTGTGGGGTTGTTGCTGAACTCCTGGCATAAGAGAGAGTTTTAGGCGTTCAGATTCAAAATAGTGAAAAGTGTGTATAGATAAGGAATTGGCTGGATGGTCGCACT